CAAAGGAAACGGAGATGAATAAATGCCGATGAAGATATGAAAAATAAACTTTATAAAATACCACAGAAGGCTTACTTGTAGCTGTTTATACCATAATCTTTAAAGTTTAATGAAGATCTGCTTGTTGTATAATACCTAAAATTTAATAAGCAAATACATATCCCATAATCCCTAAAAGATACTCAATGCTTACAAAACTTTTGAGACGGCTTGACTGGGTAATGAAAAAACTTTATTATAAATGCGTGACGTTTCGACAAGATTTTGTCATTCTCAGAAACGTCGTACATTTATAACAAAGTTTTTCATTACCCAGTTAAACTGTTTAACAACTTTTATTTTCTAAAAAATGGGTTCCTTGTTATCAAGTTTTAAATAGTCAATGCTTATCTTATAATCCTTAAAATTCGGTCAGCAATCGCTTATCCTATAATCCCTAAAACATAGTCAACAATTGCAAAATTATATAATCTCTAACTTGGAAATGGGTGAAGGCATTATTGATACCATACTTAATAATGTTTTATGTTGCTAATAAGAGTTTGGATTCTATGAATGCTTTTCTGTTACATGGCAAATACACTGCAAATCAAGATTTATCATACCATGCATTATCTTCTGTATAATTTGTATTTAAAAAGATTTTTTCATGTCTGAGAAGAGAGTTTTGTCATGAGCTTTGTACACATTTTTTAGGTGAAAAACTTCAGTTGATCGACAAAGAGAAAAAAGGTGAAACTCCGAAAAGAATTTGACGAATCCCACTTTTTGTAATTTAAATATTTTTCTTTTTAAAATAACAGCCATTTTCTTACATAAAAAAATCACAGAAAATATACACTGGAGCACTACCTGAAATTCCTCTTGCTAATGACCTTTGACCCATAACAATGTCGCTCATAAAAGATATGATAGTTCTGTACAGAAAAAAAAAAACACTAAAAGTAATATCACTAAAAAGTTGTTACGTGAGTTTAGCCTAATGGCCGAACGTACGATCAGAAAGCCAGTGAAAGAGAACACCTTTACCATTAAACCTAATTATAAACTGGATTGATTCAAACTAGAGGCGTACATTTCTCTGTCCTCAGGCATATATACACAAGTGATTCGTTATACTCACTGTACAGAATTATTTCTTTAAAGCGTCTTTCGAATACATCTCTGTCATCTGGACACGTGGCACGTGCGGCTTCTTCATTAGTGTAACAACGTCCAAGACCTGTGTGTTCCAGAACAAAAATGCGTCTTCACACAAATAAAAAAAAAGGAAAAGAAACAATGGATATACAATCGTCAACCTCATATCATATAAATAATTCCCATTGTTAATGAAATCTATGATTAATTTGATGCGTTTTAGTATAACTTTTTTATTTTTTGTTTAGTTAAGCCAACTCATGACGTCATTGAAAATCAGAAAAATCCTACCGTTTATCTCATATCAATTACAAGTGTTAATCGCTTGTAATACAACCAGAAAGAGTTAAATAAATTACGAAATAATAACTTTTTTGTATAAGTTATTAAGGATTCTTTGTGTTATATTTTCTTGAATTTTTGCGTGATATGCCTCGCTTTACTGTGTCGCATAAAAAAAAGCCATTTAAGTTTTTCTGTTTTCTCACTTAACACACCTGAACCTAAAGAGTTATGTCTTACTTTTCTATTTTTTGCCTAAACTTGCTTTTCTTACTTGATAAATGTTATTAATTACATTCAGTGTTCTTTCAGAAAACCATCTTTGAACGTGTGGCTAGAGAAATTTGTGACACAGAAAAACACCTTTCAACGTGTGGTAGAGAAGTTTGTACACATAAAACCATTTTTCAACGTGAGGCTAGAGAAGTTTGTGACATAGAGAACCATCTTTGAACGTGCAGCTGGAGAAGTTTGTACATATAAAACTATCTTTCAATGTGTGGCTAGAGAAGTTTGTGACATACCTTCCGTGTGGATTTGAATGACATTTGGAGTCTTCAAAGTTAGATGAAAACACCTCAAACAATCTTCGGCACCGGTGCTAAAAAAAACGTTACAATTTTGTTTTAATATCTTATTCTATTATAAAAGTAAAACATAAAAAAAGAAAAGGATAATTTTATATTCTATTAAATTCACACAGACACACTTTTAAATTTCATGTGATGTTGTGTTTCGTAGTAAAATAGAAAATGTTGTTATAGCAAAAATATTTAGTAAGATTAACAATTAACATATCAAGCTAAGTCGATGTTTCACACGTATATCATTCACTCCAACATTTTTAGGCCAAAGCTTTATATATCACGTGGTATATATTTCCTGCGTTAGACTTACAACGACGTAATGGAAATACAAAAGGTCTATATAAGTTATCACATTTTTAGTTAAACTTAGTTTTCTAGACATAAAACCATTTCGTGCTTGCTTTCAAAGAAAATATTACAGAAAGCATTCTACTGAATCACCTGTCTTTTACAATGACGTTGTTTCCTCTTTTCAAATGGCAGCGCCCCCATGGAGGAATAGCGTCAACTTCGATTGTTAATTCTGAATAAGTTACAATACTGCCTCCGTACGCTGCCGATGCTTGGGTTTGGATAAGATATGTTCCTTGTACTTCAAAAGGAAAGTAACAACCAGCTGATACTAGAAAAAATCAAACAGTTTATAATATTATAACAATGTCAAACGAGTACATTTTATGAAGAAGTTATCAAAATGTAAAACACCACGTCTGTAAAAGTGAAAAGATACAAGACTATCGTACAAATTCGATATCAAGAACAAAAAAAAAACTATTTCAATTTCCTTAATTTACAGAAATATATATTATTAAATACTCTTAAAATAAAGTTGTCAAATAATCCATACCATTTCTAGAAAATCTGACCCCAAAATTCTCGGAGTATAAGGAAATAAGTTAACGAAAGAGGCTCATTTTTTAAAGATAATATGATTTATTATTGGATTTCGAACATTGTGGAGAAATATTTAAGTCTGGACAATAAGAGCTTTAGGTTTTTAACCCTTTCGTATCATAAGAATGTATTCTCGTAATCAGTACACATATATATTATATATTCTCGTTATCGATAGGAAACAACAACAACTACAAACTGCTGTAATGCTGACACATAGTCCAAGTAATTAAATACGTTATGGACAACGTTGAAAATACTTAATTATAAAACACATGATTATTATTTCAGTGCTCTTTCACGATACAGTGATTTGATATTTATATATATACATACATCTAAGACAAGGATAAGCAGGTGGGTTGGTACATAAGATTAAAAAACAATGATATGTAAACTGGTTTACGCCAGAGTTCTTTCAGTTTGTTTAAAATAAGATGAATCACCAAGCAGTCAAGTATTTCGAAATAGAAAGATGCTGAGTAACAACAAACTTCCGGAAAATGACGTTTTGCTTTCTAGGCTGTTTTTTTTTTTTTTTAGTCCGCGGCATAACGGCTCTGAGAATGGCTCCGAGTACAAACTTCTAGGTCATAACTCCATCCCATGACCGATTTGAGATCTAATTATAGCCGCGGCTATCGAGGATTTCCTCTTGTTTGCATTTTTGAATCATTTAAAGAACGAGAAATATGTGGAACACATGGAATACCATGACACGTGTTTTCTTGTATGTTTATCTTTGTCTAAAAGAAGTCGCACGCTAGTTATCGGGTATTTTTCTTGTTGAAAACTACTTAGTTAAAACATCAAACGTATAATACCTAATGTACAGATACAAAAGTGCTGTCCCCCGGTGTGTCAGCGGTAAGTTTACGGAATTTCAATGTTAACCCCCCCCCCCCCCGTAGATAGCCAATTGTGGCTTTGTTCTAAAACAAACAAAACATGCTACACCTATAATCAGATTTTTGCCGCATCTTCCTCAATCAATGCTCCTAAAACTCTTCCCGAATTTCTCACCGCTAAGGAATTGAAAAGATATGAGAAATCTCACCGATTCTATTATTTGTAAATACTAGTACCGGTAATACTCAAAAATAGTTGCTTCTTCTTTACCCCCTAGTTGCTCAGCGGTAAACCTGAAGGCTTATAGCGCTAATAATGAGGCTTTAATACCCGTAGTTGGCACAGCACAGATAATCCATTGTGTAGCTTTGTGCTTAATGACAAACGAAAGCTTCGCCTTCTCGAACGCTGCGCTGTCTGTTTGTGCTACAGAGAATGAGTTTTTCGTTTTCCTTTCTTTTATCTTCGTGTCAGGTTTTCGCGAAAGCTACACAGAAGCTAGATTCCCAATTTTGAACTGATATGAACTAAAGGAAAGGTAGTTAGGAAATAGCACCCACTGCTAACTGTTGGTCAAAACAATGAGCAACTCATATATTATCAGATTATAAAAACACATAAAACTATGTGATCAAAACTGTATATCTATATGATCGAAAAGTATACATATTTAAATATCTAGGTAATTAGAATGTTTATATCCAAGTGATGTAACCAGATGATCAAACATTTAGTTGAGAAGTTATGAATGGGGGGGGGGGGATTTAGTAATATATCAAGTGTGGTTTGTTTCAGAATTTCGTGCAAAGTATATAAAGTGTGCTATGTGCCCATGGCCGTGCCTAATTTTGATATGATAGACGAGAGAGATGCTAGTTAGTCAACATTATTCACTACCAGTTGTTGGGCTATTATTATCTGAATGAATAGTGGGATTTGACCTTTACAATTATAAGTCATCTACAGCTTCAAAATACGCGAGCGCGACTTTACGGTAACGGGCCGTGAACCATGGACTATTAGATTTACAGTCCCATCAAGTTTGGCCAGTATTATGTTTTTTAGAAAGTCTGATACTAAAATATAGTTTAATAAACACACTATCGCGCTCTAACGGATATTCTAACAAACTTAAGCAAACACACACCATCCTGTGATTAACGTTAACTCACACCATCCTGTGGTAACGTTTATAAACACACACCATTTCGTAGTTCACACTTATAAACACACACCATTTCGTAGTTCACACTTATAAACACACATCATTCCGTAGTAACGTTTATAAACACACACCATCCTATGGTTAATAGCTAATTTTACAAATAAAACATACATCCAGTATTAACACCTCGACATACGTTTATCCTATTCACAGACTAGCCAAAACGTTTCATTTCCACAGCATATTTAAGACTTACAGATGAGGCTAAATTCAAAGACAACTCACACCAGGACTAAGCCTAAAGAGGACGAAAAACAACGGTTAACAAATTTAGAATTTGTTTATTCAGAAAGTGACGTTACTAAGGCTAGTACGTTTCTCCTAAAACTTTTAATAGAAATGTTGAAACATTTAAAGCCTCAGACTAATAATAATCAAAAATAAACTATTATGATTTGCCTAAATTTTCAAAATTTAATTGAAAAAAACAACAACAAATAAATAAAAAGCATGAAGCTTTCTTTGTGTTTTACTGTAAAATAAAGCTCCGAAAAAGAAAAAAAAATTCTAGTCTTGTCCACTCAGAGAATTTATGTGCCTTTGAACTGAAACAACAACAGTTCGCTGCCCCTCAAACCAAGGATACGATGAGCAATAACTAAAATCACGCGCCCTACTGATACAACCACGTGTATGTGTGTGTGAGAGAGAAGTGCACCCTAGCGTGAAGCGCTGAAAACCTGTCGAGTTAGACATGTGCACACAGTAAGAAAGGACAGCACCCCCGCTAGAGAGAGTTCGAGTCTATGTATTCGACACCCCAATAATGCCTGGCTTACCATATCCGGTAGTTTATTCAGCTTTGATGGACTGCTTTTAGTCAGGCTCGTAAAAAAAAATATATATATATATTTTTTTTTACATCTTTATTTACCAGCAAGAAACATGAAATCTGAATTTTTAAACGCTGTTTTCATTTAAACTTGCCCATAATTACATAGATAGCGAAATCAACGAAAGTGAAACCTAAAAACAAGTGCCAATCAAGATGTTGAGAGAAATATATAAACATATATATATCAAGGTTTTTTTCCTCTGTCAGAAATAACACCTATTCGTTGCCTCATCGATAAACTCTAGGGCTAATTGTGCTTAAATTCGAGGTTAGATCCCTGCGGTGTGCACGTCGCGCCTACATATTTTCTGCCTGTTTATTTACTTGTCTGTCCAGTTGTCTTTATGTTTCAGATATGTATTTACCAACTTAGCTGTCATTTTAAGGTTGCCTAGCAAGTTGGAGGAATAACATTTCAAAGTACTTTACTGATTTATCAGGGCCTGGTTAGAACACTCGACTCCCAATTCGAGGGTCGCGGGTTCAAATCTCGTCCCCGAACATACTAGCCCCTTCAGCCATGGGGGGGAGGGGGTGTTATAATGTTACGGTCAATCCTACTATTCGTTGATGAAATGTAGCCCAAGAGTTGACTACCTTCCTTCTTCTCTCTAGCCTGTCACTTCGAAATTAGGGACGACTAGCGCAGATAGCCCTCAAGTAGTTTTGCGCGAAATTCGAAAACGAAGATTGTTTCTTTGTTTGTAATTAAGCATAAAGCTACACAATGGGCTATCTGTGCTCTGCCCACCACGGGTATCCAAACCCGGATTCTAGCGTTGTAAGTCCGCAGACATACCGCTGTGCAACTGGGGGGCCAAAAACAAAGAAACTGATTTGTACTGGCTAGACGCGTCTGTCTGTCTGTTGATATAGTTGACTACCTGTTTACATTCTTTAATTACAAATATTATGTATAGATACTTATATTGCGAGCTCATCCAACATGTCATCCTCCTTCTCCAGCGATTACTACAAGTGGATAGCAACGTGCATTATCTCTGTTGAAGAAATTATTTTTTTACAGCTTCGCCTTTTCTTAGTTTCAGTTCGCTGGGCACGAGAGTTTTCTTTCTGTTAAATTAAGCTGGATTCTAGTGATTTGAACCAAATCACGTGGTAGGGTCAAGTTCTGACCGTTCCACTGGGATGCACATTTGTAATGTTAATTGAAGACTTGGCTAGTTTCTTTATACTGTATAGCAGTCACGAGAATCTAACAATGGGGAATTCGCACGATGACAAATTTCTTGGCATTCAAAATAAGATCAGTATTCAACAAACTCTTTTAAACCATCCAACTATATGTTAATTTAAACGCCAAGTTTGGAGCTGCCAAAACAGATACAAATACGTGTGTATATTAGGCCTAAAGTCCCCAAAGAGCTCCTAAAATACAGATATCAGCAAGAGAAACAAGGAAAATTTCAGGTTTTGGTATTTTTTTATCGCCCCAGGGTGGCACAGCGGCATGTCTGCGGACTTACATTGAGAGAAACCGAGTTAATTTGTTTTAGAGCAAAACCACATTGGGCTATCTACTGTGTCCACCGCGAGGAATCGAACCCCGAATTGTAGCTTTGTAAGTACGTAAATATTTATTTTAGAATGTCTATGTCATCGAGAGGGTAGTACATAAAAATGCTAAGTTTAAATGCACTTTTGCAAAGTGTAATGTAAGAATAAGAATTTAAGATATTTAGGAGAAAACATTTCTTTTCCTCAATAAAAAAACATTATCTGATAGCATTCAAAAGGAAAGGATTATTTAGTCTTGTTATTAATGTATATTCATTATTCATGATCGTGTTCTGATTCA